CTATAGATTTTCATCTATACGTATGTGGTGAAGTGGGTTAGTGCCGGGGATTAATGTTTGCGCGAACAGTGTGGGTATCGGAGATGTGCGATACTAGCGTAGATTGGGGCTCTGCGTACTGATTATATTCAGTTATTGTACTGTGAATTCACACATGACGGACGGACGAAGCTAATACATAATTAAAATGCCTGGTCGCAATGCGGACAGGTTCAAATTACGCGCGCTCGGTTGATGATATGAATGGAGGTGCTTAGGACAGCGATTATGACATCGCTCTCCTTATTGGTAGGGACGGTCGCGATTGTTCTTTATGTCAAGGCAGTGTTTTCGTTTCGATAAATGTCAGTCAGTGTCCACATGGTTGTGTCGCTTCGTTTGTTCTCTTTTCTTTAAGCACCATATCGAGGTCGCCATTTAGTAGCACTCGTCATCCCTAATGTAGCTGCTTCCCCACAGTCGCGTATGCTTCAGTGCTCAGTAAACACTGAGTATGCTGGTTCCTTCTGGGACCTAAATATGCAGGATCCTCTCCTCCAACCTCATCATCAATATCTTTCGGAGGCTATCGGTGTTAAAGTGATCTAGAGTATGCACGCTCAGTAGGAAAAAAGGTTGTTCGATCGTCGGAACCATTTCTTTATTCCTTTGAGCTTTCAAACTCTGTGTACAGGGTTATCTTGACGCTCGTGAGCTTGCATCCGGGCGCCGGTTGACTGACCTCAAATATGCCAATGATATCGCTTTAATAGCCTCAAGCTTTGGCGATCTACAGTCCATGATGTCATGGCTGAACGAGGTCGCAGTGTCGGTCGGCTTGTCCAAAAATGATTGGAAGACCAAAGTGTTTCCATGCTGCATTCATGCCCAAGCGAAGACACTTCTCGAGATTAGTGGCTGCCAACTTGAAAAAGTAGACAGTTCCAAATACCTCGGAGCGAGGTTGTTGCTTAATCGACAGAGTATGGATGACATTTTCTCCCGAATTGACGCGGCCGGACGAGTTTTCTCCATCCTTCGAAAGTGGCTATGGAGCCGACGCGATATTTATATCTCAACAAAGGTCCGCGTGCACCGTGCATCTATGCGCTCCGTTCTTCTGTACGGATGCGAATGCTGGGCTATGCGCGTGGAACATGAAGAGAAACTGGAAATTCTTGGTCACTACTGCTTGAGGACCATCCTTCGAGTGAAGTACACCGCCCTCATCTCAAATCAGACAGTCCGCACTCGCTGAGGCAAAATCACAAGGTTATCCCAGGCCATACAAAGGAGGCGACTAAGGTGGTTTGGAGACGTTCTTTGTCGTCAATCTCAGGAGCTCAGTGTACTGCCCTCGAGT